GTGAGCTGTTTATCTCTGTCGTGCCTCCAAATGAGGTCATCAAGCTGCAACCTGATTGACAGGCCAGACTCCACCCCTTCACAAGTTGACACCGGGTTATGTAACTGCCACACTCTCAGAAACCCACAGGAGCAGTCCTGCCCTGTTCTACAGGGTGGCCGTGAGTCGGAATCCACCCGACAGCCATGAGTTTGGTTTGAGTTGGTATGTTTTGGAGCCGGCCCTGATGGCACAATGGTCAAGCGCTCAGCTTTTCACCTTGCAGTTGATGGTCCGAACCCACCAGCCCCTGAAGGAGAAAGATGGGGCTGTCTGCGTCCATAAAGCTCTGCAGTCTTGGGCATCCTGTAGGGGTTGTCATGAGTCAGAATTGTCTGGATGGCAGGGGGTTTGGTTAGTGGAAATGTTCCCTTGTTTTACAAACTGTTCATTAAAGAGATGTCAGTCAGCGTCTGTGATTGGCGTAATAAGATTTGGGTTTCAATCCATGTCAGAGTTGAGTGGTGCCCCACAGGGCTGGAAACAGCTCGCCAACCCCGTCGGCCCCAGGAACCCCTGTCTGGGTTGAACCACCAACCTTCATTCAGTCGTGGAGCATTTCACCCCACCATTTGGGCCACCTAAGGGTTCCATTAGAGTTGGTCAATGGCGGGGGAGGACAATCTTCACCAGGGTGCAGGAGGCACCCCAGAACCTTTTGTCCAGGAAAAATGATCCAAGGCCCCAGAGTCTTCCCTGGGACCTCGGCCTCATGCAAGCACCTCAGTGAAGCAGAAGGGCTTGATCATGGGTTCCTGGACTCTGAATAGCTTCTCAAGCTTTCACTGGACCTGGGGGCCAGCAGCAGGCAAGCGTGAGCTTGCTATCAGGCTGGCTAAAGGCCCTTGTCCCCAAAGGACCACTCCTCGCCATCCAGGCACCGTCTGTGGCTTCCCACTTGGACAGACACCCCCCTCCCCCCGACTTCTCCCATGTGCCTCACTCAGCCCCATGGCCTCTTCCCCCAGGAATCTGGAGCAGTGTGTGTGTGTGTGTGGGGGGGGGGTGCTTCCCCTCCCCCAGCAGGCGCTGCAGCCCGGGTCTCTGTGATCCTTCACACGCAATGACGGCGGCACAGAACGTTCCAGCCTGGGATATTTTGTCACCGCGCCTCCTTAATGTCACAGCATCCCGTAGGAGACGGAGTAATGCCATTTTAATTATTTCTTTCTCCTGCTGCGAAAGCCGCCAACATCAAAACGGTGCCTCGGCGCCTACCCCCAGCCTGGCAGCCGCCGAGCCCCGAGACAGCGTTCAAGTGCTTTCTAAAACTTTCGCCTCGGCACGCCATTTAATATTAACCAAGCACTCATCGCTCTGATCTGCATCAGGACGCGGGAAGTCAGAGACAAGAAAGATCAGCTTCCTGCGGCTGCCGCTGCTGCTGTAAATGGAATGAAGACGGGGGGTGGGGGGGCTCTGGAAAGCAGCAGGCTTCCCAGCGGTCGATGAGCTCCCCACAAACCCAATATGAGAAGGAAAGGGGGGGGGTCATTGAGGCCCCCGGAGCAGGAGCCAACCCAGAAAACACACACGTTTAAAACAAACAAACAAACGCAAACGTACTGTCATGGAGTAGATTCCAACCCATCGCGACCCTGTGAGGCAGGGCCGAACTGTCCCTGTGGGTTTCTGAGACTGTCACTCTTTAGGGGAGTAGAAAGCCTCTTCCTCCCTCAGATCCACTGGTGGTTTCGAACTGTTGGCCTCGCGGCAGCTCAACCCACAACCACTGCTCCACAGTGAACAGCACAAAACAAAAACTGCAAGGCCATCAAGTTTGTTCCCACATACAGTGACCCTGGAGGACGCCGCAGAACGGCCCCTATGGGTTTCCAAGGCTTTTAGATCTTTACAGGGCAGACAGCCTCGCCATTCTACTGGTGAGCGGTGGGTGGGTTTGAACCGCTGACCTTGTCATTAGCAGCTCAGGGTGTGGCCCACGAAGTCACCAGAGCAGTCCCTTCATTTCTACCCAACCCTCAGGCATGCCTGCAGAGCGGTGAGCAGCACTTGGGGGTGGGGGGGGGCGCGAGGGCGGGGGCAGGGGGGTGTCAGCATCTCCCTAGAGGGTCCCCACCCAGACCTGGGCGAGCTGCAGCTCCGGGATACCAGTTTTGGACCCTGACTGCTAAAGAATGACATGTGTAAGCCTCCGGGTGGCGCAGAGGGCTCAGCGCTTGGGCACTAGCCTAGAGGCTGGTGGCTCAGACCCACACGGAGGAGCATCAGGACCCTCGGCCTGGCGAGCTGCTGCTGCAGTCAGAGCTGAGGGGCCCTGTGGGGGGACAGTCCTGCCCTGCGCGTGGGGTCAGCGGGAGCCCAGGAGGCTCCCAGCAGCAGGAACGGAAGGACACCTTTAGATCCAGCTCTGTCCCTGCCCCCTTGGCCTCAGCAAGACACAAGGGATGCCGGATCGAAGTCTGCGGTGTTTGTTCAGCCCAAGGCACTCCCAGCTTGGCAGCCACACTGTGCTCTCGGGTTTTGGGGTGCACTGAAGGCCTGCTGGCCTGCGGTGCATTATTCCCCGGTGTTTTCTTGGGGTGGCGGGCAGGGTGAGCAGCTTTCCCACAGTGTGTGTGTGGGTTGGGGGTGCGGGGGCGGTGGACCCTAAACACTTCCATCTTTGTCCTTCATTCAGTCGAGCCCCCAGCCTCGAGTCCTAGCCAGTGTACCCTGAGGGGGCAAGAAGCGAGGGGTGTAGGTGGGGGGCCCAGGAGGACACTTGTGCTGCGTGTCGAGGTGTTTTCAGAAATGCAAAGAGCAGGACATCACGGAAAAGGTTTCGCTTCGAAGGATTCTGCAAGCTAGGAAAGCCCCTTGCCCGCCCGCCCCGGCCCCCCAGCCCTGGACTCTCCTCGCAAGCCCTGCAAAGCGGTTCTTGCACCTGTGATCACTCATAGCTCCAAGGAGCAGAACTCAGGGAAGCGCTGCCTCTGATGGGCTGGGCGGTGTGGGCTTGTTTTGTTCGGTTCATCTTTTGATCAGAGCAGCCGACAACGGACTGGCACCAGGGAGGCTGCGGCTCTGCTTCTTACATGTTCAAAGGCGCTTCCCCTCGGAGGGCTTAGAGGGGAGGAGGGAAAGAACAAGTAGCAAGCTGTGGTGGACGTGGGTGGAGGGGCAAGGAAGGGGATCGCACAGCCTGGATGCGGGGAGCCCAGGACATCCCACAGTCTCCTTTGGGGACACGGTCCTTGAGGCGTCCCTGCCGTCCATCACTCCTCGACGTCCTTGTACTTGGTGAGCAGGTTGTACAGGACCCTCAGGGTGGACTTGCCGTTCAGATTCACCACATCTGCAGAGGGAAGTCCGGAAGCCCCGTGAGCCCTGGTGTCCTCTCTCCAGGTGGCTGGGAAGAAACTTCACCCAAGTGCCTGCCAGGCCGGCCTGCCCCTGGGGAACTGCACCCTCAAGAAGGGGCAGTGGGCTGCCTGCACAAGTCCCGGCTGTTTCTCCAGTCACCCCGGGCTCTCTTAAAACCCAAGGAAATGGGGGGGCGGGGGCGGGGGGGGCACACTGGTGGTCTAGTAGTAGGTTCCTCTTTTCTCAGCAACCATGCGTCCATCCATGGATGGTTAGTTATTGCTATGGTGCTGGACGTGCCTCAGTAGAGCTTCCAGACTCAGATCGGCTAGGAAGAACGGGCTGGCGATCTCCTCCAGGAAGTCACTGGCGAAAGCCCAAAGTATCACAATGGTCTGACCGCCAATCCCTCATGGGGAGGGAGCAGGATGGTCACCTTGAGTCAGGGGCCCACTCCACGCAGCTCTCTCCCACTCTCCAAACTGCCCTCTTGGCACCCATGCCCACGACCATTGCCAGTCCAGGATGTTCTGGGCAGCCCCACCTAGGAACCAATGATTTCCCCAAGTCCCATCTAGAATTCCTATCAGAACGTGTCCACCGAGCAGGGGTGTCTAGGGAGTATGCAGACACTTACGGGGTGCCAGACCACTAACGGGTGTGTAGGCAGGCTGGCACTTACAGGATCTGACAGCTCCCTCCAGAGCCTAGGAAGTCTGGCTGCCCCTTTTGGTGGGAAGGATGCTGTCTCTCATGGATCCGGGGCACCTGGCTCTTTTCCTCACTTGCTCTGTGAGATCCCAGCTCTGGGCCTCGGCCTCCACTTCTGTGAAATGGGCCCAGAAGCTAAAGACCTGAGTTTGCCAAGTTCCCGAGGCTCCGGGCCCAGGATAAGCCCAGGCTTCTCCCCACGGCAGGCAATCGGCTGCGAGAGATGGAAGTGCCACCTCTCGCAGAGGGAGCAGGCTGGGGGTGGGGGGCTGTTGGGGGCGTGTGTATCATATGTGCCTCATCAGGAGCCCAGGAGGCAGCAATGGAGCAGGCCGGGCCTGGCCCTCCCCCAGCGCCTTGGATATGGCAGTGAAGGGCAGCTCACAACCAGGGCTCCATCAGGGACTCCAGGTGCGCTCCAGCCAGTGGCTGGGCCCCAGGTCCTGGTCAGGCCAGTGCAGTCAGGGGAGAGGAAGGGGTTTCCAGGGGGTCACAGGTAGCCCGAAGAGAGGCTCTCAGGGCTCCTAATGGTTCAGACAGGAGAGAGGGGCAGGGGCAGGGGTGGGGCTGCCACAGGAAGCCCTGTGTGGCAGTGGTTCCTGCTGCACTAACTACCTCCGTGGCACCCTGAAAGAAAGGCCTGTGGATCTGTGAGGACTACAGCCCCAAAGCAGCCCTTTGAAGCCCCTCGTCTCTGACCCGCAGTGGCCAGGACCCCAGCCTCCAGCCACCCGAAGCCCCTGTAGGTGTGATGTTGTCATCCCAGCCCCTCAGACTGGTGGGACCCTCCTCCAGGTTTCACAGAAGAAAGGGGCCAGCATGGATATCCGGGTCCCTGCCAGGCTGCCCTGGCGCTAAAGGGAATGCCACCTGGCGCTCATGGCCGCCCCATGGTGCCAGTCGACAGGGCAGAGAGAGGGCAGGCAGGGCCAGCCGAGGGGCAAGGAGAGACGGATGTGCTGCCGATGGGGGACCTGGAGGTCCTCTCGCTGAGCTCCAGCAGAGGGGGACACACAGCTGAAGGGGCCACTGGGTCACAGGCTGTGGCTCCACACACCCCCTCCCAGCACGCTGCCCCCCCTCCTCGTCCTCCTGCTTCCCACCCTCAGCACCCAGCCCTCATGCCCTCACGGACCCCTGGACAGGCCCTCCCCTCGGCCTCAGCCCAGCCCACTGTGGGTGGCCCTGCTGACCCCTGCTAGGGCGTCTTCCTCGGTCTCCCAATCGCCTGTGCCCCAGCAGCACCCACCCTTTCCAATCACCCACCCTGCAAGAAATGCCCTCTTCACTGCCCTTGACTATGTGGCCCTCCTGAGTCAAGCTGGGTGTGTGGGAGGGGGTCAGCCACTGCACTTAACAAGCACTCCCCCCCTCCCGCCCCAAGGGGATTGAAGATGGCCCTATAGGGTACCTTTAAATAGGAGCCAGGTACTGGGGTCCACCCGTCCCCCCACCTCCCACAGACCTGCAGGGTGTGCAGGCGGCTGAGTCTCTGCTGCAGACATCCCCCCCAACACTCATTAATTCTCACTAAGCCTTTAATGCATGTTGAAGAGCGGAAATCCAGCCCCGGCCACAGGCAGAGAGCCACTTCACCCTGAAATCCAAGGGCAGAGACCTCTAGCTTCAAAGTCAAGTGACTATGAAGGAACTGCCCCTCTCTGCTGGGCGGGCACAGTCCCCCACTCCCACAGCCCCACAGCCCTCGGGCTAAGGGCAAGATATCAACAGAACCCGGCCTCTAATCCTGACCAACCCCCCCCCACCCACCCACCCCCGGCTGTCGGCCTCTCCACTCTCTGCCTCCACTCCCACCGCCCCAGGCCCCTGGACGTTACCTTCCGGACGCGACTTGGGTTTCTGGAGGCCCCCGTCCTCCATCAGCCCAAAGGCGAATGCCACGTTGTGGACCTGCGCAGGAAGTGAGAGTCGGTGCATTGGCCGCTCCGTGCCCGCCCAGCCCACCCCTGCCCACTGCCCTCCAGGGGACCCATGGGGGCCAGCGGGGCCTGAGAGCATCGGCAGGCCAAGCCGAGGAGACACACTGGGGATGGAGCAAGGGCAGGTCTTGAGTGCTTAGGTCCAAAGTCCAAGGAGCAGGTGACTGGGAGCCCACCTGACAGATGGGGACAGATGGAGGACAAGTCTCTCCCCAGGGTACCAACGGCTGGCACTGTTCTCAGCTTTAAGGACCTTGAAGCACCAAGTGGGGAGGCCGATCCCTGCCATCCGAGTGTCTGTGTCCTCTGAGAGACACACTGTCCCCAAGGGCAGGGCAAGGCCCAGCACTGGGCAGGCCCGTGACCCCTGAGAATCAAAGTCAAGCCCATGGCGGCTTTGAGTTTCAGCTCACAGGACCCTGCTCCCAGCCCACAGGGCACACCATGCCAGGAAAAGTTGTACTTGTCCCCAGCCCCCGCCTGATTCATCCTTCATCCGGAGGATGACAGGGCTTAGAGTCCTGGGCCACCACAGGGGACATGCGGTGCTTTTGTTCCGCTAAGGACCACTGAAGAGCCTTCCCAGAAACACCCTCTTCACTGCTCTTGACGATGTGGTCCACTGTAAGATCACATACCCTGCCTGCCTCCCTGCCAGACATGCTGCCCTGCTGCCCACCTGCCTGCCTGCCCTCCTGCCTGCCCACCTGCCAGCACTGACGGGGGTGGGAAAAGCAGGGGCAAATCTGTGTACTTCTGCTCTGGACAGACCTTCAAGGCTCTTGGTGACCATAGATCTCTTTAAACACGAATATTTTGAGGACTTCAGGGAGAACTA